GTTGATTATAACATGGAAAATTTGTCTGTACATGTGAGAATACTAAAAGCCTGTCCACCCCAGGAGGAAGGGGGAGAGGAACCGTTTTACTCTAAACAGGAAAATTTTCCTTTCAATCTGTATCAACAAAAATGCTTCCCCTCCAATTTTATTGAGGGACAATTGACTAAAATTGTAAGATTATCAGTGTACAATGTGATGATTTGATATAAGTATACATTGTGAAATGATTCCCCCCATTGAGTTCATTAACATGTTCATCACCTCCCATATTTACTTGATGTGTGCATGCAAAAACATTTAAGTTCTAGACTCCTAGCGAATTTCAATTATACAGTACAATGTTACCAGTTATAGTCACCATGTTAAACATAGCCTCACAATGAGGGCTTCTTTTTCTTGAGAATCATATGAACTATAAAGAATGTATTCAAAGTACCCAAATGGTTAGCAATTGTTACTGATTACACCATGAGATTGCTTGAGTTATTTAACAGTAATATCACAAAAATGCCTTATTATTCTTGCTCTATTTCATTTCATTATTTAAAAAAAAACTTAAAAATTATATTTTAAGAGTTTTAAACATCTAAAGTATTTTCATATACTCTAAGAATGGTTCAACATTCTGTATGTATTTGATAAAGGATCATGTGTAGCTGGCATATATATTTCTGACTACTAGACACTTAAGTGTGGAATCCAACTTTCCCAGAGTTTATGAAACTCTGTAAAGACTTTTAAGCTCTGGAATCTCATCCATCCCTTCTTCCTGCAGCCCAGACCATGCAATACTGTAGCATGTGGCTCAGGTCACAATAATAGGAATTTTGTACTGAACCCTACACTAGCAATATGTATACTAGCAATTTTCCCAGCTGTTCTCTCTGATTCTTTCTCTTATAATAAGATTACAGAATGTCCCTTAAAGAAAGACCGGTGTGCTAACTCCCTGACCTTATCCTTCTTAAAATAGTTTGAATAAGGGAAGAATAAAACCAAGAGTTAGATGATTAAGATAAACAATTATTTTAAGGAGAGGTAACATGGCAATAGAGTAGGGAATAGAACCAGGGGATAAGCAGAAATGTCAACAAAATGTTAACTTAAACCACAATTTATGCCTCTATTAATTACTCTAATAGAGACAGACACAAAGGCCTGAATATATAAGACAAATGTATCTTAGGTGTCTTTTTATTAGGGGTGTTCTTAAGTTATGTTTGAAGTTATCAGTGGGAAACAATATGTTTTCCTATTTGTTAGCATTAATAGTTTCTAAATTATCAATACATAAAATAAATTACAGATATTGCATTTAAGGGACTATTCAACTTCAATTGTATTTATCCTTTAGCACTGACTTTAAAGTCAATGTAAAGGCTTCTGGAACAAATGGTACCTGACTCTAAATAAATACTTGAAAGCACCAGAAACAGTCAATGAGCAAGAAAAAAACAACACAGTCACTGAGTAATTTGTCTCATCAATCTCAGAGGTATTTGTTAGAATCAAGTGAAATAATAGACCTTTGAGTAGTTTGACAAGTATGCAGTGTTAATCAAGTGTGAAGTAATAAGAATACTATGCTATTTCCTCAAACAGTACATTTTCTTGTTGCTTCTAGATGCTAGCAGAAAAATAAGAAAAAATACTTTTCAGAAATGGATTTGCATATATGATTTAGGATCTCTTTTTGTGGTAATGGAAAATTTTAGGACAAAATTATTGGGGGGGAAAAACCTGTGAGATTTGATGCCAAAACAAAGACCTGCTTTTACCAATTACTGCCTTTATTTTGAATCAATCAGGAAAGTTTACATGTATAGAAGTGCGATTCCATCTTGAACGACAAATGGGATACTATCTGATCCAGATGTATATTCCCAGTCTCCTGATTGTTATTCTGTCGTGGGTTTCATTCTGGATCAATATGGACGCTGCTCCGGCCAGGGTAGCTTTGGGAATAACTACTGTGCTGACTATGACCACACAGAGTTCAGGATCCCGAGCTTCCTTACCAAAGGTAAGTGCACACAAAGGACATACAAATATATTAATTAGCACAAATATGTAGAGATGCATAGTTATATACATATACATCATGGTTAGTTTTTGTCAGATCTTTTTCATTAGTACCTATTATTCATTGCTGATTTTTTAAAAATATATTTTATTGATTTTTTACAGAGAGGAAGGGAGTGGGATAGAGAGTTAGAAACATTGATGAGAGAGAAACATAAATCAGCTGCCTCCTGCACACCCCCTACTGGGGATGTGCCCACAACCCAGGTACATGCCCTTGACCAGAATCGAACCCGGGACCCTTCAGTCCTCAGGCCAACGCTCTATCCACTGAGCCAAACCGGTTAGGGCTCATTGCTGATTTTTAAGTAATGACCAAGGCAGAAACATTTGTAAAACACAAAAAATGATAAAGAAAAATAATTTGCACATCTGCATAATCGATGAACACAGACAATAGTGTGAAGAAGGCCTGGGGAGGGTGGGAACCAGGTGGATGGGGACAATATGGGGGACATCTATAATACTCTCAACAATAAAGGTAAATGAAAAAAAAGAAAGAAAAAAATTTTGCAAACCAATGATAACATACATTCATAGTTATGACCCCCAATTATTTAAACATCAATAATACTCTGATACACTATAGAATTTTATATGTATAGATTTTTTTACACTTAGAAACCTATCAAATGTATAAATAAAGTAAATCTATGCAGTAACTTTATTATTTATTTATTTTTTTAAATATTTTTACTGATTTCAGAGAGGAAGGGAGAGGGAGAGGAAGAGAGAGAAACATCAATGATGAGAGAAAATCATTGATCAGCTGCCTCCTGCATGCCCCATACTGGGATCGAGCCCGCAACTCAGGCATGTGCCCCAACCAGGAATCAAACCGCGACCTCCTGGTTCATAAGTTGATGCTCAACCACTGAGTCACACCAGCCAGGCTATACAGTAATTTTAAGTGATCGCACAATACTCCATTGTATGGATGTACTATAATAATATTCTTACTATTAGGACTCACACAATAATGAACATTCATATAATGAATATTATAAATATGCATATATATATATATATATACTGGTACACGTATATATGTGTATATGTACATGTGGATACATATATACATGCACACATAATTTTATATCTATTTGTATCATTTTCTTAGTGTAAATTCTTAGAACTGGAATTTCTGCTCAAATAGTTGTAAGCATTGAGATGTTTTGCTAAATTTCCCATCAGCAAAATGTATAGCAATTACACTTTCACAAGTATTGTATGGGAGTGCCAATATTGCTGCACTCTGAGTTAAATATATTATTTTGGGGTATGTTTTTTCCCCTCTGCCTTTTAAGCAGCTACAGGTCAATAAAAAAGAAAGCTTATCTAATACCACAATTTTAGTCCATGCTGAGCTGACAGAATTAAAATAAACTGTTTTCTTTATGAGGTTTGTAAAAGACCCCATTTTTTTTTCAGAAGATATGTTGAAATAAAACATAGTCTCTTTTTTCATCTAATTAGCAACGTAACAATATAAAATTATTTTCTTCTTCTCGATGACTTCTAAGAAAGACATTTCTCCTCTCTAAATTAAGTAATTCTGTCTAACTTGCAACAGGCTTCTCTATTTCCTTTGCAATGACAGAGATATAATAAAATAATATTCACTTGCCCGACTCTTGTGGCTCCGTGGTTGAGCATCAGCCTATGAACCAGGAGGTCACACTTCGATTCCCGGTCAGGGCACATGCCCTGGTTGCAGGCTTGATTCCCAGGGTGGGATGTGCAGGAGGCAGCCTAACAGTGATTCTCACTCATTATTGATGTTTCTCTCTCTCCCTCTCCCTTCCTCTTTGAAATAAAAAAATATATGTTTTTTAAAAATGGTATTCACTTTTCCTGTGCATTTGATGCAATCTAATTATAATGCTAAGTACATTGTAAATGTACAGTCATGGTCCCTTAACCCTTCCTATGAATCGCATTCTATGTTTCAATTTATTAGATTAAAATGTTTCAATGAATAAAGGTTGATGACAGAATATTTTATTACTAAAAATGTTATTTAATATAAGGAGAACTTGATATTTAGCGATGCTCCCTCTGCTTTGCTAAGGTCTAATGGTTGTCTTTCAAAATAAGGTTTATTTTTAAAACACTGAATTATATTTTCAAAATTATGCATATCAACTAGTGTTTTAAAAAATATTGTCTTAGTGAAAATTGTAAATCTGTATATAAGATTAAACTAATTCATCTCAAGGCTTATTTATACAGTGGTGGGCAAAATGCATTGTGACATTCTTTTGAGTTATTGAAGCTATTATAATCATAACCTGCATGTCTTTTTCCATAAGAATAACTGTAAACCTACTTTTGCCAACTCCTGTATATGTCTAAATGTCTCAAGGGCTCTCTGAGTAATTTGTAAAGGAAATTGCCAGTTTACTCATTGATTTTTCTCATGAGCTAAACAGAAATCAAAGTTCATTTGTTCTGTAAATTGGCAACCAGAAAGAAGAGCACAAAATGCTTTATATTAGGAAATTTCAGTTTCTAAGAGGCACAATATAAAGATATTTGGATACAGAGATTAAGGCAGAATTGGGAGATCATAGAGATTTGAGTGGAGGAAGAAGAGATTTTTAAAAAGCAATAAATTATAAAAAAAATTAATGAAGACACAAGTTTTGTTTTTAAAGGGAAAGAAAGATTGGGATGACTTTAAACTTTTTTTCAAAAATTAAGAAAGATTTGTTAAGGCATTTATTTCACTGTGATCTCAGGGAAAGAATGCACTTTTCCCTCTGAGTTTAATTATATACATAAATGTGTAGAAAACCTCTACATCTCTCAAATTATAGGGACAACAACTACTGGAAATGTGATATTTCACATTTCTATTTCATTTCACATTTCTATTTCACAATTCTATTTCATTCTGAACCACAAAAAAGAATTTATTGGTAAGGTGATATCTTAAGAGAAGGTGACCATATCATTTTAGGCTTTGCGGTAGTTGAGGAATGGAAGAATGAGCATATTCAGTTATATTCAGACTTCAGGGAAGGTAGATGGTGAATAGCCAGAGGAAACAAGAATTAACCTATTGAGATGAAATAATTTAAAAGAGTAGAACATTTTTTAAAAAATTCTGATTCTGTGATGGGGTAGGGAGGAACTAGAAAGGCAAGATGCAAAAGTCTCACATTTGCCCTTAAAAACAGATGTCTGAACCTTGGGCTTTAAGATCTGCAACTCTCAACCTCACAAAAGAAGTCTCAGATGCCGGAAAGACTTACCACTAAAACAACCACCATTGTCCTACTGACAAAATCTAGGAAGTAGGAAAACAAATTAAATTCAGGAAAACAATAGGATCATCAGGCGTTGGAGGAAGAAACAATAAATCATTAATTTATGATAACTACTTAGTGTTTTGTCCTGGCTCTGCGCCAATAATCTCCTGTAGAATAGGAATGACTCAGAGTAGAAAGTGTCAAAGAACATACCTTAGCCAGCACCTTGAGAACTACACACCTGAGAGCCCTCTCTGACACGGGCCTCTGCAGTGTCATGAGAAATGAAGCATGCAATAGCCCAAAGCAAGAAGACCCCTGCGATTCATTTCTTGGAACTAAAAACTACTTGGCATGTCTGTAGTGTCTTCATCAGTGGCCCAGTGAGGGTGACAATGCACTCTCTTGGGAACAACTTTTTAAAGTTGTATATTTTGATGAACACTTCCTAACACTGGACGAGAGTGAATGAGAAAACAGAGGTGATTGTGGGCCGTGGTAAAGATTAGGTTTATTTGGGGTGGTTTGGGAAGGATGTTAATAATCAGTGCCATCTCTCTGACTTCCCTGTGGAGACAGATAGAAGGGGCGGAAGTGGAAGCAGAGCAAACTATTGTCGTCCAGAGCAGATGGTGGTCTGGCTAGCTTGGTAGCAGCAGAGATAGATCGTAGCAGGTGGATTTAGAACTAGTAGATATTTTTTGTGAAGGTGTATTGGGAGTGAAATAGACATGCTTGACTTATGAGCTGGACATTGAGGATTGATGAAAAGGCAGGAGTGAAGCATAGCATTTGGGTGAGTCACTGGGCAAGTAGTTGTGAGAGATACTGGTGGGGAAGTTTGGTGAAGGTAACGGATCTCTGGTTGAACATTTTAATTTTGAGATCCTTATAAGATCACCACACGGAATTGTCAACAAAAGTCAAAACTTCTAAGTTTCTGACCAAGGACATGTAGGCCCCAGACTTCAGGGAGTCAACTGTAGCTGGATAGAGATAATTTTCCTAAGTATAAATGAAAGCCCAGAAAGAGGAGGAAGAGATGTATTTGTGGCTGACCCTCCTCCTCCTGTTGGAAATGGACTTGAACATATAAAGTGTTCTCTCTCCTTTCTTCTCCCATGGCCATATCTACCACATATGCAGAACAAGTATTCAGCTTAGTTAAAGGTAAGAGCCACTCACCCCAAACTTGTCTTCATACTCTTTGAGATCTCAACATTGTGTGATATTTTAAAGAGATGTAAAAATCTTTCCTGGAAGGGTTAAGTTTAATTAGGGTAAAAAAGGGAGTTGGTAATAATTACTTTTTAGTATAAATTTGATTTATACTAATACCTTGTTAAGATCTTGGAACTGGGGGAATTATATTCTTTTTTAAGCATGGGATGGCAAGAAATAAAAGAGAAGGGGCAAAATATTATTTTAATTTAGAAACTCTGGTTCCAGAAAGAACCCACAGCAGGGAACTCTAGGAAAACGTGGGTATTCTGCAATATTACATACACTTTACCCCTTCTTTTCTGCTTCCAAAGATCAGTTATTTCCTATTAGAGACCTACTCCCATTCCTTTTTCATTCTGTTTCATAGGGACCAGCTAGGTCTAGCTCTGGTTCGTGTTTTCTGTTTTGTATCATTCACAGAAATACGTGAGTGTCACCATGTACACACTAGTTTAGTCCTTTA